GATTGTTTACAGCAATTTAATGCAAAGCATGCGTTTACTTAATAAAAAGTAATTATCTTATCGAGAACCATTGTGCTGGAAAAGCCACATGTGACCACGTGGTGGCACTTAAGGAAAAGTCAGGTTATTTGAATGGAAATAATGCCCACGCCAAATGTCATGGCAAACACATCTAAACGTTTTTGAGAAATTATATTATTGCATATCATGGCGTTGTTGTCTATTTTTTTTTAAAGAGGCATACATTTTTTTTAATGAATTTTGGTTTATTTTAAATTTTTGTTGGATTAAAAAAACAGTGGCTGGAGCTAGACTTCAGGAAAAAGGCTGTTGAAGACAGCTGAGACAAACCTATGATGGGAACTGGCTAGTGATGACAAGTTGATCTCATTGCTTGTTTTCCATGTTTATTGTATTTTTCCTTCCCTTTGACTCTCATTTTAAAGTTGTTAACTTTAGCTGCTGAAATTAGCGTGGATCAGGGAGCGGAAGGTACAGCGGAGGTACATTCATTGAAAATGTTCAACGTGCTTACCCTGATAGATTGACTGACCCAGATATCCTGGTTAGAGAGTAGTTTGTTGAACATGTGCATGATGTATCATTGCGGGGGGAGTTGAAGAGTATTGTAATACAACGCCCCTCCATTTCTTTCTTAGCCCTGTGACAGGAAGCCATTAGGTGGGTGGAGGAGAGTGAGGGACCCCTTAGGCAAACTCGAGCTGGACTTCATCACTGTGGGGTTGATGTGAATATAAAAAGGGGCCTGTCATGCAGTGGGGGCTGGAAACAAATCAGAGCTCTTTGTTTTGCAAGAACAATTTAACAAACAACAGTTGCAAATTGAAATCATTGTAAAGAGTCTATCTAAAATGGAATCTGTACTCAATCAGTCTGCTTCTCATTCCCGTAACCCCAATTATCAGTTTTTTCCAGAAGGCTTGCCCATCTGCCTCCGTTGCTGGAAGCCTGGACATGTCCTCCGCCAGTGTCGCCAGGCGCTAGGCAACGAGCCTCCAGTGTGCCCAGTGTCCAGCCGGAATCAAACCCTACCCCAGCTGCCATGGGACCCTCAGGTACGAGCTCTGTGGAAAAGTGAAATGGTGGTAATGAGACTAGTAGTGAAAGTCATTTTGGGCAGATCCCCACATTCCAGGTTTGGAATGTTGCATCCAGTTGGGGGGAGCAGAACAACAGCTGAGTTTTGAGGGAGGGAGGTGACTAGGTGGCTGTAATCAGCGCACAGACTGCAAGAGGTCCCCCTGTTACCATCTCTGACACCATTGCAGCTTTAAACTGGCCAGGGCTTTCACCTGCAGAAGAAAAACAGGCAAATGAGTAATTGGAGAGGTATAATCATGTCTTTGCTAAGCATGAGGGAGATCTAGGGTGCACAGATGAGATTGTACATGAGATACTACTTCTTGATGAGGCCCCAGTCTGTCAAAGATATAGGCGAATACCTCCTACACAGTGGCAGGCGGTGAAAGATCACATTCAGCAGCTCCTTGATAGTAAAGTGATTAGGGAGAGCAGCAGCCCTTTCGCGTCAACGATTGTCTTGGTGCGGAAGAAGACAGGAGGATGTGTGTTGACTATCGGCTACTCAATGCTAAAATGAGGAAGGATGCTTATCCATTACCCTACATCGAAAAGTCTTTGGATGCCCTTTCTGGTGCTCAGTGGTTGTCTACACTTGACCTGGCAAGTGGCTATAATCAAGTCCCTTTAGCTGAAGGAGACAAAGCTAAGAGAGCCTTTTGTACGCTATTTGGCCTCTTTGAATTTGAGAGAATGCCTTTTGCCTTATGCAATGTTCCTGGGACCTTTCAGAGGCTCATGGAAAGGATATTTGGTGATCAGAGCTTCCATTCAGTCCTCCTATATTTGGATGATGTCATTGTCTTTTCCTCTTCCATTGAGCAGCATTTGCAAAGGCTGGAGGTGGTTCTTAGCCGTTTTCTGCAGAAGGGTCTGAATGCCAAACTAAGCAAATGTCATTTCTTTAGGAAGGAGGTACAGTACCTTGGGCACCATGTTACCAGTGAAGGAGTGGCAACTGGTCCGGAGAAGATCTCCTCTGTGGAGAACTGGAGGCGACCCCGGGATGTCACAGCAGTCCGATCATTCCTTGGCTTCTGCAGTTATTACCGCCGCTTTGTAAAGGTTTTCGCACAGTTAGCTGCCCCCTTGCACCAACTTGTGCCTGAGGTCATCAAAGTAGCCAAACAAAGCAGAACAATGCCAGCTACAGTCCCACCCAGTATGTGGACTGAGAAGTGTGAGCAAAGCTACAGTGACCTTAAGGAGATGCTCATAAGTGCACCCATCTTAGCTTTTGCTGATTTCACCAAGCTGTTTGTCTTAGAAGTAAATGCTAGTCATCAGGGGTTAGGGGCACTCCTTTCAGAAGACCAGCAGGGTAAGTTAAAGCCAGTTGCCTATGCCAGCCGTTCATTGCAAGGTTCTGAGCATGACATGGAGAATTATTCATAGTTTTCACAGGTTTTCACATTTCAAGGAAAATGCTTCCTTGGAGGGCAAAAAAAACGTTATTTTCTGCTGCCTACGAACCAGGAAATAAGTGATACACTGTAACTATGAGTTTGTTACATTGGAGTTGCCAAAATGCCATATGGTAGTTGTGCTTTCGTACACACTAATCCAGGAAAAGACCAGCCTCGGCTGTGTTAGGTGAGAGATTCCCTAAGGTAAACGTAAACATACTGCAGTCGAGCGGCGGCAGGGACCTGGCGTTTTTTTTATGGTAGTAATGCGGCAGCGAATGCTGTGACATGGATCTGAAGTGCCCAACACTTGCAGTTTGTGTTTCTTTTTCTTAAGTTGTGAGGTGATGCAAATAAAATTCTAAAATTTCTTTTGTGGCATCTCTACGGGTGAGTCGCGCTGTGAGCCGATATGTTGGTCTGTTGTTTTGCCCTCCAGGTCACCGCGCATGTCACATGACTGAAAACTATGAATAACTCTATGAAACTAGAGTTCTCAGCACTGAAGTGGGCAAGATCAGAGAAATTTAGGGAATATTTGCTAGGCAGCAAGTGCACAGTGTACACTGATAATAATCCCCTAAGTCACTTTCAGAACCTCAAACTAGGCGCAACCACACAACGATGGGCAGCCCAACTAGCGGCCTTTAACTTCAATGTGCATTATTGAGCAGTGAAGAATAATGGTAATGCTGATTCTCTCTGCCGCCAGTACAGTGACCAGGCAGAACATGAGGAGCCTGGCCAGCAGACCAGGAGCACTCCAGTCACTTACAATGACCCTGAGGGATGTGAGTTGGTTACACAACAGCAAATTGGAGTCTTTCTGAGTCAATCAGTGGCTGAACTGTCAACTCTGCAGAGCGCTGATCCAACTCTAAAGGTTTTTCTTTCTTTCTGGAGGATGGGAAAGCCACAGAGGATGTCCAGCATCTACTTCGGCAGTGGGATCGCAACCTGGAAAAAGACGGCCTTCTGTACAGATGTGCCACTGCTCCTCATAGTGAGTCATACACTCAACTGCTTCTGCCCATGTGCCTTCATCAAGAACTTTTAAACAGCCTTCACGACCAGCATGGACACCAGGTTATGTGGTGGACCACCGATCTGGCGAGACAAAGATGTTACTGGACAGGGATGGGAGCAGAAATAGAAAAGTACTGTCAAAACTGCCACCATTGTGTACTGTCCAAGGCTGTCCAACCCAAGCTAAAGACCTACCAGGGTGCTCTTCTTTCCATTCAGCCACTGGAGATACTTGCCATTGACTTCACCCTGATTGAACATGTAACAGACTGAAGAGAGAATGTGTTGGTCATGACTGATGTCTTTTCTAAATACACACAGGCCGTGCCAACCAAGGACCAAAGTGCTGTTACAGTAGCGAAGATCCTGGTTGACAGCTGTTTCAACCGGTTTGGGGGGCCTAAAAGGATGCACTCTGATCAGGGGAGAAATTTTGACCATGGTCCTTGTGGATGGTATGGACCACACCATACCATCCACAAGGAAATGGCCAATGTGAGAGATTTAACAGCACACTTCATGACCTGCTCCGATCTCTCCCCCCTCAAAAGGAGCGTGTGTGGCCAAAGTACATCTCTCAGCATGTGTGGTCTGGGCATATAACACCTCCACGCATCGCTCTACTTGTCATTCCACTTATTTCTTAATGTTCGGGGTTACACCCCATCTCTCGGTGGACTTGCAGATGCCGCTGAAACAACAACCAGCTCTTGTGATGAGTGGATTTGGCAGCACCAGGTAGCATGAAATCTCACCCAAAGAAACCTAGAAGAGGCAGCAGAGTTTCGCCAGCAACACCATAACCAACATGCTCGCGACCTTGGCTTCAGAGAAGGACAGTCGGTCCACTTGAAGGATCATCACAGTCCAGGTCGTTGCAAGATCCAGGACATTTGGTCACCAGTCCTTTATCAAATGGTTAGAGTGCCAACAGAACCTGGTGGGCCGTATACCATCAAACTAGCTGATGGCACTGGCATTGTGAGACAGGTGAATAGGACTGAGATAAGGGCAGCACAGCTCGAAACTCTGCCATCCGCACCAGTGGTGCCTACGCTACTCATACCATCTAACCCTCAAGAGAGTAACCCTTACAGTAGAAAAGATGAAGGCATAGTTAGGTAGGGAATTGCTCCCTCAGCCGGCTGCCACAACCCTGCAGGATGTTCAAGAGCTTGACCCCAACAGAGTATGGGGCCCCCCAAAGACTGGATAGTGGGGCTCTTGAGGATGACGCCGCCATACTTCATGGCAGGCAGGAGACGTCAGACCTTTGACGTACCACCCAGGCTACTGCTGTGAAGAATCCGAACCCACACAACCTGCCAAGGTCCACAGTGGCAATTAACAATATGGTGGTGGAAAGGGCTACTGCTCCCCTGAGGCCTGAGATAGTTAGTAATTCCCAGTTTAAGCCATGGTTGTGAGTGAGTTGAGCGTCGGGGAAACACCATTTTTTTGGGGGGTGGATGTGGTAATGTAGGTGATTGGTACACATGCATAGTCACATGAGTGCACATGCATGGTCACATGACAAGGTCATATGACCTGCAGCTAATCAGGAAGTGATAGAAGGTTTGCTAGTCTCAGTGGAGAGTCTTTTGCTTTCCACTGAGCACATCTTGCGGGGTGCACTCTCCCTCTCGTGAGTATCCCATCCTCCATGGAGGGAACTGGAGAAGAATGATGGTAATGCCTATCAGTGTTGCAAGCTGTATGGAATGGTTTCAGCTAATGCTATTCTATTGTGGCCACAAATCAGCTGCTGTGGATGTAGGGATCCGGAGATACTGGTAAACGATATACATGTGTCTGTCTGTGTATTTTAATGAGTTTTAGCCCTGTGTTATATATAATGTTTTGTTTATAATGTTTCTCCCTCCCTCTTGCTGCATTACTGTGCTACAGGACTTTGTGTAACCTCGCAAAGTAGGTTTATATTTTATTCTTCTGTTAATTATGTGTAAGGCAATATAATTTTGGAACCTGCAACTAATGTCGTTTGTTTGTTTGTTTAAAGGCGGACCAGGTCAGCCAGTGTTTTCTATTGTTGTTTTATCTTTTTGTTTCTTTTGTTAATTTGTTTTCTAGTCCCTTTTAAGATGTCTGTTGCTCGGTCGAGTGCTCCACTGTGATTGGAATTGATGTTCTGTACCGGGCATCTACTGGGGGTCATATTTTGGATGGTGGTTTAAATACAGCTTGACTGTACAAAGCTGGGTCCGTGTCGGCACACTGCCTCCCTTTCAGTGGTGAGACTGCACTGAGTGACATTCTGTAGTGCCGTGTATACTCAAATTTGACATTGCATGCTATTTTGTAATGAATAGTCTAGATGCTAAGTGTGTAGTGAATAGTTTAGATGTTAAGCGTATAGTGACATAGAAATTTACATTTTACATTTATTCATTTAGCGGAGTGCATGTACTTCTTGGTGTTGGGTCTGCTGTCTCCCACAGTTGCTGATCGGGGTGGTGTTTACGAGCCGACCTGACCTTCGTACCCTGAGGAGAGTAACACTGTTTTTCCCAACCAATTTATTATCAGGCTAATTTTACTTATCCCGTTGGTATTTTAATTGGGATTTTAACAATATATTTTGTAATAAAATGTACTTACTCTTGTACAACGTATACCTCTTTGTAATTGTTCCTGTTCAGGGTAAATCAGAGTTCACGACACACAACCTTATATATCCAGGGTTTTAAAGGGTTCCTCCTGCCCTTACCAGGAGGTGGCGTTGTCAGGTCCAAAAGGGTATCCTTTCTACTCTATTAGGCATCACATATGGGACATGTTTGTTTGATGCGATCCCTAAAGTCTCCACTAGTGTATCACAAGTAAATTAATTTGTTTTGTTATAGTTACTGTGATGCTGAGAGATAGTCAAGTGGTAAACTACCACGTCTCTGGAATCTCCTTTGCATGGTCCTACCAGGGTTTTTGTGCCTGTGTCTAATTGAGCCTAGCTCAAACTCACACAGTTAAATAAATACTGAAGGACATTTTCACACAAAACAATTGCTAGCACATCAACTCCCCTGGTATGGTAACACACTACAACAGGGCAGAGGGAAAGAAAGAAGTGAACAAAAGGGCAGTTTATACATAGAGTATGAGCCTACTCCCTAAACCAGGACAGATACCCTGCAAACAAATGAGCTGGAGTTATGAATATAGGAGTTATCTGTCCAAGTAAAACAAGATTTAAGAAAATGATGCCTAAAATGGTGATTGGGAAGTAACACATACTGTTTTCTAAAATGATTTGGGAGTACCTTCAGGTTCATGTGTGCTGCGTTAGGCAGTGATTTGTCAGAGTAACACTTTCTTAAATATTCAACAAGATAAGAAGAAGTTAATAAAACTTAATGCACACAACCTCAGCATTTCTAAATCTCCATTCCTCAATCCTGTTGCCTGTCTCTTTAATCTATGTTAAGGTGTATTATCCACTCTCAGAATGGCATAGTTTCTAATTTCTGAGTTTAAAAAAAAGCTGAGGGACTTTTTTGCTCTATACAGAGAACTTGATAACATTTATTCAGTTCAATTCAGTTCAATTTTATTTATATAGCGCCAAATCACAGTTATCTCACAGCGCTTTTCATAAGAGCAGGTCTAGACCGTACTCTGTGATGTCATTTACAGAAGCCCAACAATTCCCTCCAAGAGCAGCACTAGGTGACAGAGGCAAGGAAAAACTTCCTTTTAAGAGGCAGAAACCTCGAGCAGGACCATGGCTCAGGGTGGGCGGCCATCTGCCTCGACCAGTTGGGGGTGAAGGAGAGAGATAGAGAGAGGAAGAGGGAGAGAGGAAGAGGGAGGGAAGGAGGGACAGAGAGGAAGAGAGAGAAGGGAGGGAGGCAGCCTACACAATATACACACATAGGTACAGACAGTAAAGGTAATGTTGCTATAGACTAAATGGTACAGATATTTATAGTAGTGTTAATGATAATAATCGTAATGTTAATGATTATAATAACAATAATAACAATAGGACTAGTAACAATAATTGTAGCAGAGGGTGTCGAGCAGGAACACGGGGGCAGCAGGTGACCCGCAGCCACAGATCCAGACTCCACAGCTCCAGAGCCAGAAACACCTGCAGGAAGTGATAGGAGGAGAGAGGAGAGGGACGAAAAAGCACAACACTACGGGAAACGGGAGTAGTTGAGTTAGTAACATGCATTAATGGGATGAGGTTGCATAAAGAGGGAGAGAAAGTAGGGGAGAGAGGACCTCAGTGCATCATGGGAAGTCCCCTGGCAGTCTAGGCCTATAGCAGCATAACTAAGGGATGGTTCAGGACTCACCTGAGCCAGCCCTAACTATAAGCTTTATCAAAGAGGAAAGTCTTAAGCCTACTCTTAAATGTGGAGATGGTGTCTGCCTCCTGAACCCAAACTGGAACCTGGTTCCACAGGAGAGGAGCTTGATAGCTGAACGCTCTGGCTCCTAGTCTACTTTTGGAGACTCTAGGAACCACAAGTAACCCTGCATTCTGGGAGCGCAGTGCTCTGGTGGGGTAGTAAGGTACTATGAGCTCTTTAAGATAAGATGGTGCCATTAAGAGCTTTGTAGGTAAGAAGAATGATTTTAAATTCTATTCTGGATTTTACTGGAAGCCAATGCAGAGAAGCTAAAACAGGAGAAATGTGATCTGTTTTCCTGGTTCCTGTCAGAACACGTGCTGCAGCAATCTGGATCAGCTGAAGAGTCTTAATGGACTTTTTCAAGCAGCCTGATAATAAGGAATTGCAGTAATCCAGTCTAGAAGTAACAAATGGATGGACTAGTTTTTCTGCATCGTTTTTAGACAGGATGTTCCTGAGTTTCGCATATTACGTAGGTGAAAAAAGGCGGTCCTTGAAATTTGCTTAATGTGAGACTGAAACAACATGTCCTGATCAAAGACAACTCCAAGATTCCTCACAGTGGTGCTGGAGGCCAGGGCGATGCCATCAAGGGAAACTATATCTTTAGATAATGTGTCACGGAAGTGCTTAGGCCCCAGAGCAATAACTTCAGTTTTATCTGAGTCAGCCTGGCTACAGTGCTGAAAAGAAACCTGGGGTTGTTCCTATTTTCCTCTATTAATGACGAGTAGTACGCTGCTCTGGCATTACAGAGGGCCTTCCTATAAGTTTTAAGACTATCTTGCCAAATTAAACGAGAATTTTCCAGTTTGGTGGAACGCCAATTCCTCTCAAGTCACGATATTTGCTTTAATTTGCGAGTTTCAGGATTATACCATGGAGCTAACCGTCTTTGTTTTATTATTTTCTTTTTTAGAGTCTAGTGTCATTCGCAGCGAGCCTGCAGCACTATCAACAAGATGATTGATTTGGGAGGGACTGAAATTAGCATAGGAGTCCTCCGTTACTTTGTGACTTAAATTTAGCTACAGCACTATCAGACATCTTGTATATAAATTTTTGCCCAATGGTATGTATTTCAGCAAAACAAACTCAAAAGTTATCAAACAGTGGTCAGATAAAGAGGGATTCTGTGGGAACACTATTAAATGTTCAATTTCAGTACCGTATACCAAAACAAGGTCGAGGGTGTGGTTAAAACAGTGAGTCGGTTCATGAACACTCTGAGAGAAGCCAATGGAATCTAACAGAGAGATAAACGCAGTACTGAAGCTGTCATTCTTAACGTCCACATGAATATTAAAATCCCCTACAATAATAACTTTGTCCGTTTTAAGGACTAAAGTTGACAAAAACTCTGCAAATTCAGATAAGAATTCAGAGTATGGACCAGGTGCTCGGTACACTATAACAAAAATAATTGGTTGCAGTGATTTCCAACTTTGGTGTGAAAGACTAAGAACAAGGCTTTCAAATGAGTTATACTTTAGTTTAGTTTTAGAGCTGATTAGTAGGCTAGAGTCGAACATAGCTGCAACTCCACCTCCTCGGCCTGTGCCTCAAGGAATGTGAGTATTAATATTTTAAAATTTATGTGGACAGGAGTGTGCTGTCAGTCAGACTACTACCTGTCCGGATTGATGAGGGTGAATAACGAATAGCAACATATGGTCTGAAACTAGCATTGACTTCATTCAGTTGAATATATGGGCCCCCTTTGTCTGCAACATGAAAGTGGCTTGGGAGAGTGAGATTTGAGGAGAGACCCTGGAGGATTGCAGGGAACATCATGCTGAGGTCACCAGCTGAGCATCTCTAACTGAAAGGCCAGAGCAAGATGAGCATCAGCTTACTGTCACCCATAGATTGTACCACCATATAGACTTTTTCTTTTGAAGAAAGACTACCTTAGATAAAGTGCTGCTCGAATAATGTTTCTGCTTCCAAGAAGAAACTGAAAAGAATAATACTTCAGTACAGTTATTCAGTTTTAACTGTGCAGAGACACTGATATTTCTCCTTCTGTGCATTAGATGGCACTATTGTACTAATAATGTGGTGGTTAAACCTACACTCAAACATGAATGTTCTCAAGTCAGCATTAATGAGATAAGCAATCAGCATAACTGATAGCAACAAGTTGAAGATGTTTTATTTATTTTCAACTCAGTGCAGTGTATTCTGGTGTAACATGGTTAGTTTTGGTTGTGCAAGTTTTGGTAGGAACGGGTGACATGTTCATATAATGACTCAACTGTAATCAATGCCTCAAAGAACTATTGAATACAATTGGTTTGGTTTAGAACATGGTGGTCACATTGTTGCAGCAAATTAGCATATTACAAAAACTGAAACAGTAAAACCTGCTGTGAAGATTTATGAAACCAATATCAACAGATTATGTTGTCGCTGTCATAATTTACTCGGATACAAAACCCATCAAGGTGAGACGCATCTCCATAATATTTGTTGATGTATAGAATTTGTCTATTTACTTGTGATACCTCCTGACTCTGTAAAGGCTGGTTTGCTTCATGTACCTGGAGTTAATATCACACAAGCCCTGTGTTGTCATTTTAAATGAAGACGCATGGTGCTAACAGGCTTACATCCTGTAGCCACTTTGCCTTCATGTATTGTTGGTGTACTGAAGGATTACCTTGCATTCCCTTCGTTATTATACATGCTATAGGTTTCCAGTTCCAAGAGCAGCAATTGTAAACATGCAGTGTCTTCTGTGCTCATGAATTATTTGATATTATTTGATCACAGAGGAACAGACTGAAAAGATTGTGGTAATCCTATTTGCTTGGAAATGTCTCTGAATGTAAATGAAAGTGTCAAGACAGCCTCATTATAAATAAGAAAGCAGGATAAGAAGTATTTTTGCTCAGAGTTCTATAGAAATATGGTGGACAACAAATACTTCTAATATGTCTTCAAATATTGAAGACATTGTGTGGAGACAGCCGGTTAGCCGTAGCATGCTATCCAACTTTACAGAGAACTCTAATTATTTGCTTAACATGAAAAATTAATGCTTCTCTTTTTCCTTTGCATAGAAAAAAGTTATATATCATGTAATAAGTTTAGGTTTTTGACACCAGGCCCTATGAAATCAATGCTGAACACAATGCTGATCCAAAATGACAAAAATCTATGTTGTCAATACAGGCTGTTTAATTACAATGCCCACTGCTGTTAAGCCTACTGAATAAAGGTAGGTTCTGAAAATTCACAAATCTGAATAT